AGCTTTTACTGGCCTGGGGTCTTTGTTACTGTCCGGCAGTACTGCCGTTCCTGTGACCCCTGTCAGAGGGGGAGGAAGGCCCGGGACAAGGGGAAAACGGCTTTAGGACCCTTACCCAGCATAGAGGAGCCTTTCCGGAGGGTGGCCAAGGTTCAAAGGGGGGCTCTGAACCAAGAGAGCCCGAAGCACAGACCTCCAGACTGGAGCGCTGGGAGAAGACCCCAGCCCAGTTGGAACCCCAGGGGTATTGGGGTGGGAAAAGGGTACAGGCCGCTTAAACCTTCCCACATGCGAACTGCGAATGCCCTCGAGCACCCCCGACCTAAGGGGGGGCGTGAAACTGGAGGGGCCTGGTGTAATTCTCACCAAGGAATGGGAGGGATGCTGGGGCATCCATGGGAACGGGGGTAGGTTCGAACTTCCCCGGTCACTGGCTAAAGTGACCCCGCTCAGTTCGGTCTCGAAGGGGGGAGAGATGTGACAAACTGGGACTGTTCTTACTGTGGGCTTTGAATGCTGACAGGGGAGTGTGGCTAGGATAGTCTGCAATGGGGGATGGGAGACTGACCGACGGAGAATACCTGAGCCTGTAACATGAGAAACCAGGAGGGGGCTGGGGCCAGGTGACACCTTTGCCCGGGAAACTGAACAAAGGCTGGGGGAGGGGTCGCTGAAGGGAGGGTTTTCAGGAGCTGGCTGATGATATGGCTGGGAGGCAGACGGGGCTCTGACCTCGCAAGGGGGCTGGGGTGCCCTGGGAGCCCAAGATGGACCTAACTGAGGGGGGTCCTGTTGTCTGTGCCTGCAAGGCCTGTCTTGGACTGTATTCCTGTCGTCTAAATAAACCTTCTGCTTTACTGGCTGGCTGAGAGTCATGGTGAATCGCAGGACGCCGGGGGTGCAGGGCCTTGAGTCCCCCATACTCTGTGACACCTTCCAACCCTGATATTCTATGATTCCGGGTCGTTGGAAAAGACGCATCAGCCAGGCTGTCTGTGTCTGAACTGCTGCTAAGGCAGGAACGGACCAGAACGGTCCTTATGGCGGATTATGGCCCCCTTTGGTTTTAGGAGAAGTTTTCATGACAATGTTGGCTCTAAGATCTTGTCTCTTATCTGCATTGCAAAGGAAGTTGGGTATGGTTCTTTTGTAACCCCAGTAGTAACCATGTAACCCTTTGTAAACCGTAACCCTGTCTGAAATGCTCTGTACACTTGTCTGGGGTGAGGCGCAAAGGACGTGTGCGTGGTTAAGGAGGCATGTGGAAGCCATCACAGATGTCCAGATGGTCAAGAAGAAGTGAGAGAGTTGGAGAAACGGCAGGAAACAATCAGAAAACGTCCATTGTGTCTGATGCTAAAGGAGTTAGCGGCATTGACAGCCTCAGAGGTGAGGCAAACACCCCCGAAGGGGAGACGAAAATAGGAGATAAGAGCAGAAAACCCCAAGATTAACACCACTTATGGACTAACGACTCCAGAATGACATTGCAAAATCCAGAGGGTAAAGTGGAAATTTACAAGTATAAAGCTGGGGTGTTTTGCCAGAGAACTCGGGGGTCAGGCCTGCAACGCCTCGGAGCATCGGCTCGCGACCGACGGAGCCCAGCTCCGCCCTCGTGCTCAGTCTAACTGGCCATTAGATTGACTTGACCTACGACAGACTGGGGACGACAAGAGCGCGTGCAGGACCCGTGTGTGTGTGTGAGATTGAATGCACAGGCTACGCGTTGTATTTTCAATAAACGCGGCGTCTTGCCTTTTCCCCTGAAAAAGACCCCGTGTGCTTCTTATAAGCCTAACTTCACCTCTAGACCCCACTGCCATCCCAGAGCAGGGGATAGAACCCAGGCGTCCTGGCTCCTAGTCCCCTTCGCTCTAACCTCCCAGACCCGGTGACACCACATCCCGTATTCTTCATGGAACTAGTGTAACAATATAATTATAGCATCACTGTGACCTATTTTGTGCAAGACGAGGCATGCGACGTATCAATAGAAAGGTGACGATTGGCTGAATGGGATTATGCTATTGGTGTGAACGTACAAGGCCTGAATATCAGGAATATCGACACTGGACCAATGACCAGTGGGTTTCCCCCTGGGGAACGCCCAGCAGACAGCAGCCATCAGTCCGGCTGGGCCGTTGGGAAGAACAATACGTCCTTGAAGATGCTCCTCTCCCACCTGCCTGGGATGGGACAAAGCGCCTCTGACTCCTGGCTGCTTTGACCACGTGATCCCAGCTGAGCTCCTTTAGTCAGATGTCCCACTCCGCAGCGGGGAGAGATCGGCGTCGATCCCAATCCACTTGGGGAGGAAGGTGGCCGCAGGCTTCAAGATCTTGAGGAAGGGGGAGTCGGGCAGAGTGTAGTTGGCCAAGTAGATGGTCTCCCCCACAGCCAGGTAACCGGCCCAGATGCCGAAGGTCCCGATGGTCATGATTGTGTGGTTGCAATGGGCCAAAAGAGCAAAGTCCATCCCCGGCGATGACTCCTTCCCGTCCCCCGAGAAATACACGTCCCCCCGCGAGGCGTCAATGTTCTCCCGGCACCACTCCATCCCGTTGCTGGTCACCACGAAGACAGGCTCCTGGTATTTGGCCCGGAAGTAGCCCATGGCCTTCTCCAGGTAGGCCTTGTCTGCCACCACCCCCTTCCAGACCTGGGGCATCACCTGGACGTAATCCCCCCTCCGGACGTGGACGCCCACATAGGTCACGTTCCGGCGCTGCCCGCGCAGCCCGGCCAGGTACCGGTTGGCCTCCTCCTTGATGTGGTCGTGGAAGGAGAATTCCTGGAGGATCTCCTGCCGGAGGTGGTCGTAGAAGGTCCAGGAGCAGGGGTAGCCCGTCAGCCGGACGTATTTCCCCTCGATGTGCCTGTACTCCTCCGACATCCAGTCGTTGAGTCCGTAGTTCCTCCACGGGACGCTCCGGGCCATGTCGCTGGAGACCACGGGCAGGGTGATGCGGAAGAGCGGCGCCAGCTGCCGGTGCATCTCCGG